GACAATTCCTTCGACCTCATGGCTTTGTTTTTGCTCTGACATGCACTGTCGACTGTGGGATCTTATATAGACAGGTGTGTGCCTTTCCAAATCATGTCCAATCAATTGAATTTACCACAGGTGGACTCCAATCAAGTTGTAGAAACACCTCAAGGATGATCAATGGAAACAGGATGCACCTGTGCTCAATTTCGAGTCTCATAGCTTTGTCATTATAGGGTATTGTGTGTAGATAGATGAGGGGAAAATAATAATATAATTTAATCCATTTTAGAATAAGGCTGTAACGTAACAAAATGTGGAAAAAGTTAACGGGTCTGAATACTTCCCAAATGCACTGTACGTGGAAGAGCACCCTTGGTTTTAGCTCCAAGGAGTAGGCTTACAGGCGTGTGTCTGTGTGTCTGTGTGTGTGTTTGTGTGTGTGAACATTGCAACTCCTGAACGTAACCCTAACCTTTACCATAGCAAGTTGTTGCATAGACTCCAACCAGTTGAGGCTGCTGAGTGGAGGACGGCTCATAATAATTGCCGGAATGGAGTAAATGGAATGATATCAAACACATAATTCACTCCATTCCAGCCATTACACTCCATTCCAGCCATTACACTCCATTCCAGCCATCATTATGAGCCGTCCTCCCCTCAGCAGCCTCCACTGACTCCACCTGTTACCCAGTCCAGCAGTGCAGGCCTCTCTGTGTTGTTCAGCCTAACGTACAGTAGATTAGAAATATAAGGAAGTAAGCTAGTTAGTTAGTTAGTTAGTTAGTTTGTTAGTTAGTTAGATAGTTAGTAAGTAAGCCTTGTCCAAGCCAGAATTGCCCATAGGGCATTATACACAACATTCATCTCAAGGAAATTGTCATCATTACAACTTACATTTAATCTGTACATACTGTACATTCCACTAGTAAGTAAGTGGCCGGAATGGCTCATAGGGCAGGAGCCTATCTCCTGTTTCTGTAGCTTGAAGTAGCTTGATATACAAGGATCCCCCCTGGACAGGACGCTAGTCTACTACGTAGTTACTCCGCATACAGAGTTCGGGAAATGTTTGGAAACTGTTTACATCTCATACAGAGGTCTGGGGAATTATTTCGCAGGGGCTGTCCTACTGGAACCATAGCGGTCTCATTTCCAGTAAAGCAGCCCCACATGTTCAGCGTCATCCGCGTTCCTCTGACCCAACCTGAACCCTCCAGCTGTTCCCACAACAACCTTTGTGATTGGCCACTCCACAGCTGTTTTGGACCACCCGGTAGCCAATGAGAATGCCCTGGAGACGTCCCAGAACACATTGCTTTAATTTTTAATTGAGTGCCGGATGTCATGTGACCGGCTCTTCTGGTGGTTTCCGTGGAGATGGTGGGGGGGGGGGGGGGGGGGGGGGGGTTGGGGGGGTCAGAGTTGTTTGAGTTAGAGTTCAACAGAAAGGAGGAGAAGAGCCTTGGTCATCATTGGCTTGTCTTTCACAGTAACAGACTATTGATTCATATTTAGGCCTTGTGAAAAACAACAGGATCACTATTCACTACAAATGGCTGTGGGGACTTACTGCATTACTTTGTTTGTGGTTGCTTCCAAAATGGTACCCTACATCCTACATAGTGCACTACTTTTGACCAGAGCCCTATGTAGTGCACTAAATAGGAAATAGGGTGTAATTTGGTATGCAGCCTGGGTCTTATACCAGGCCACAGTTTAAGATCTTATAACAATACACTCACTACCTAGGGACATGAAGTGTGCTCAGTATCTAGAAAATGGGGTTTTGTTTATGGACTCATAGGCTCTTACTGTGTAAAACGCAGTGGCTGTTGGAAGAGACTAAGGTTTACCAGGCACACATCCTTTTCCTATCTGGGTCGCGATCAGGAGAACACAGTGTACTGAATATTGTAGATAGAAATGCCATGAATAAGGCCTCCCGAGTGGCACTGCATCGCAGTGTTTGAGGCATCACTACAGACCTGGGTTTGATCCCAGGCTGTGTCACAGCCGGCCGTGACCGGGAGACCCATGAGGCGGCACACAATTGGACCAGCGTTGTCCGGGTTAGGGGAGGGTTTGGCCGGCCGGGATTTCGTTGTCCTCTCGCACTCTAGCGACTCCTTGTTGTGTGCCGGGCGCCTGCAAGCTGACTTCAGTCGACAGCTGGACGGTGTTTCCTCCGACACATTGGTGTGGCTGGCTTCCGGGTTAAGCAAGTAGTGCGGCTTGGCAGGGTTGTGTTTCAGAGGACGCATGGCTCTTGACATTTGCCTCTCCCGAGTCCGTAGTGGAGTTGCAGCGATGGGACAAGACAGTCCCCTGTAGCTCAGTTGGTAGAGCATGGCGCTTGCAACGCCAGGGTTGTGGGTTCGTTTCCCACGGGGGTTTGAAAAGAAAATGTATGCACTCACTAACTGTAAGTTGCTCTGGATAAGAGTGTCCGCTAAATGACTAAAATGTAAATGTAACTGCCAATTGGATATCACGAAAAAGGGGTAAAATTATTATTATTTTTTAAATAGAAAATAAGAGCTGACATGATTCCTTACGCTGCATGTATGCACAGCCTAGGACGATAGCCTGTTTTGTGTGGATGGCTTTGGCTTGGATAGGAAGGGATGAGTGATGAGGGGAGGGGAGGGAGAAGAGGAGGGTAGAGGAGAGGAGAGGAGAGGAGAGGAGAGGAGAAGAGATGAGAGGAGAGAGGAACCTGGTCAATGGGTTTGAAGTGGGCGGATGAAAGGAAGGTTTTGAGAGTAACCTATTAGAAAGGTCATACAGAGAGTACTTTGCGTGCAAGTGTGTGTAGGTGTGTGTCTGTTAGTATGTGTGTGTGCATGCGCGTGCGTGTGTCTCAGGGGATTTTCATAAAAGTAATCTATAAGGAACCATTTCTTGGAAGTGGGTGTTGTCATAGAGAAAGAGAGAGGCAGAACAAATATCAGTCACCTGTGTGTGTGTGCGTGTGTGTCTGTGTGTGCGTGAGTGTAGGGCCATTCACTGTAGAAAAGGGATGTTAGTCTCTGTCAGTGTTTTCTTTACAGATGGCCATCCACAAAGCTCCTAACATCAGTGCCACACCATCCCATTTACATCAGGTCGATCAATAGCCAATGGCAGTTGGCTTTAATGGGCTGCCATTGTTGTCTCCTCTGTATTGTGGCCATTGCCTTGGTGCGCACACACACACACACCATTATCAATAGGCCATCATCGTCACTATGGAAACAGTTGGTTTCTTTAGTAGCCTGAGCCGTTATCCTTATTCATCAGTTTCCAACAAGAACACTAACCAATCTTATCTACAACCCAGTCTCTATATCTTATCTACAGCATGTCACACACACAGACATGCACATACTCGCACGCATGCATGCACAGACACACACACACACACACACAGACACACACACCACCAATTACGCACCACTAATACACTCTGTATTACAGTTACCCCTTTGTTAGTCATGTATTGGTTCCCTCCAGCCACACACCACACCAGCATCATACAATTCATCTCCGCCCTCCCTGACAGCCTTCTACTTTATGACTCTAACTTCTCTTCCCATCGCGTCCCTTATTAACCTGGTGAGAAGGGTCTGCTGGGAGGCAGGCTGTGGGAAAGGGAGAAGGGAGGAACATCATCAGGTGGGGACCAGTGTGAGAATAGCTACAGACAGCAAGTGTGTGTGTGTGACTGCTTCTGGTGAGGAACTGTTGTTTTATGTCTCTTGAAACTAGTGTGCTCCTCTTAGTTTGTCTTGTCTTGTTATACACGGGTTTGGGATTTGTTGGTTTTGTTATGTGTGTTGTTTTTGGGCTCACTAGCTGGCGACATCCAGAACAATGTTAGGCAGAGGAAGATGTTCGTTGCATGTATGTGTGTCTGTGTGTGTGTGTGTGTGTGTGTGAGAGAGAGAGAGAGAGAGAGAGAGAGTCAGCGTTCCAATTCATCCCAAAGGTGTTCAATGGGGTTGAGGTCAGGGCTCTGTGCATGTTTGTCTATGGAGATTGCATGGCTGTGTGCTCGATTTTATTCACCTGTCAGCAACGGGTGTGGCTGAAATAGCCAAATCCACTAATATGAAGGTATGTGTCCACATACCTTTGGCCATATAATGTACGTGGTATGTTAAGGGCTTTGGTGTGGAGCGTGCTGGTGTTTCTATGGGGCCTATCACAGAGACATTTCATTTAACTGAGGGAAGGCTGAAGCACCGATTCTCTTTCCCATGGATCTAGGTTGAAAATAATTAAGGTTAAGGCAACGTAATAATTCCATTGAAAATAAACATATTCACTGGACCAGCGCAGTTGATGATTCTACACGTTTAAATGAATAGAATGACAGTAAAGCAGTTATGCTATGTGTTTGCTGAGTATTTAGCTGAAATTCACTACGATTGTATTCATTTTCAACTTTGATGGCGAACATTCCGTACGGCTACCATTCACTCCCAGTCATTTCCGCTCTGGTGCTGGTTCAATAAATGTGTTTAATTTAGAACGCTTCTGCATGGAATTATTACATTGCTCTAATCTTTGTTATCTTCAACCTAGCCATGAATGAGGAAGTTATTTAGACTTGCCTGTGTAAATCAAACATTACTGTAGTTATCCATTGTTAAATAAACTCTGTGTGTGTGGATGGGTGTGTGTGTGTGTGTTTGAGTGTGTGCGTCTGTCAGTGCTTGTGCATGTGGTATGTTATAACCTGGGAAGCTTAATTAAACACCAGGATTTGGATCTATCCCCTGGCGCTCCTGTATTTAGTCTGCTGCTCTGTTCTGAGTGGGAGTTGTCTGGCTCAGTTCAGCGGCCACTCATAAGATGACCATGCTACAAAGAACCAGGAGTCACTAGATGACCATGCTACAAAGGACAGAAATGGCTATCATTAGAACGTTTCACCAAGCACATCAAGATCAGGCCGTACACACACATACTCCTGTGTTCTGTGTTCCATCAGTAAACATACTCACACCTTAGTGTGTGAAGAGAGGATAATGCAGTGTGACGGAATGGCAGAGATGAGAAACCGTAAGGGGGTGTCTCTCCGACTTTCTCCTCCATCTCTCCCTCTCTCTCTCTCTCTCTCTCTCTCTCTCTCTCTCTCTCAAGGGTGGCCTGGTTGTTTTCTCTAATACATTCCTTCATTCCAAGACGGTACTGATGTGAAGTCCTGTCACTTCTCTGCACTGCTTACTCTCTATCTCCTCTGGTGAAAGCGCAACTTCTTTTTTTATTTCTCTGCTATTATTACTGCCGCTAACTCTCATTTATTCCTTTCTTCCCCATGCAGATGTCCAGCTACAAGCGTGCAACGTTTGAGGAGGAGGAGGCGGCAGATATCTCAGCTGATGGGGGCATGTCTCCGGACAGTGTGGAGGTCAGTCTGAGCTCAGTTCCCCACTAATGGTAAGGTACCCACGGGAAACTTCACCCCAGAGCATTATTACACAGAATCTAGGTTTAAGGTGCTGTTAGATTATCCCAATGAGCAGAAACAGAAAATGCTTAATGAAAGTACAGTTGAAGTCGGAACTTTACATACACCTTAGCCTAATACATTTAAACTCAGTTTTTCACAATTCCTGACATTTAATCCTAGTAAAAAATCCCTGTCTTATGTCAGTTAGGATCACCACTTTATTTTAAGAATGTGAAATGTCAGAATAAAAGTAGAGAATTATTTATTTCAGCTTTTATTTATTTAATCACATTCCCAGTGGGTCAGAAGTTTACATACACTCAATTATTATTTGGTAGCATTGCCTTTAAATTGTTTAACTTGGGTCAAACGTTTCGGGTAGCCTTCCACAAGCTTCCCACAATAAGTTGGGTGAATTTTGGCCCATTCCTCCTGACAGAGCTGGTGTAACTGAGTCAGGTTTGTAGGCCTCCTTGCTCGCACACGCTTTTTCAGTTCTGCCCACACATTTTTTATAGGATTGAGGTCAGGGCTTTGTGATGGGCACTCCAATACCTTGACTTTGTTGTCCTTAAGCCATTTTGCCACAACTTTGGAAGTATGCTTGGGGTCATTGTCCATTTGGAAGTCCCATTTGCGACCAAGCTTTAACTTCCTGACTGATGTCTTGAGCTGTTGCTTCAATATATCCACATAATTTTCCTTCCTCATGATGCCATCTATTTTGTGAAGTGCATCAGTCCCTCCTGCAGCAAAGCACCCCAACAGCATGATGCTGCCACCCCAGTGCTTCACGGTTGGGATGGTGTTCTTCGGCTTGCAAGGTACCCCCTTTTTCCTCCAAACATAACGATGCTCATTATGGCCAAACAGTTCTATTTTTGTTTCATCAGACCAGAGGACATTTCTTCAAAAAGTACGATCTTTGTCCCCATGTGCAGTTGCAAACCGTAGTCTGGCTTTTTTATGGCAGTTTTGGAGCAGTGGCTTCTTCCTTGCTGAGCGGCCTTTCAGGTTATGTCGATATAGGACTTGTTTTACTGTGGATATAGATACTTTTGTACCTGTTTCCTCCAGCATCTTTACAAGTTCCTTTGCTGTTGTTCTGGGATTGATTTGCACTTTTCGCACCAAAGTACGTTCATCTCTAGGAGACAGAACGCGTCTCCTTCCTGAGCGGTATGATGGCTTTATGGTCCTATGGTGTTTATACTTACATACTATTGTTTGTACAGATGAACGTGGAGTTGGGAAATTGCTCCCAAGGATGAACCAGACTTTTTTTCTGAGGTCTTTGCTGATTTCTTTTGATTTTCCCAAGATGTCAAGCAAAGAGGCACTGAGTTTGAAGGTAGGCCTTCAAATACATCCACAGGTACACCTCCAATTGACTCAAATGATGTCAATTAGACTATCAGAAGCTTCTAAAGCCATGACATCATTTTCTGGAATTTCCAAGCTGTTTAAAGGCACAGTATGAAACTTCTGACCCACTGGAATTGTGATACAGTGAATTATAAGAGAAATAATCTGTCTGTAAACAATTGTTGGAAAAATTACTTTTGTCATGCACAAAGTAGATGTCCTAACCGACTTGCCAAAAATACTTGTTTGTTAACAAGAAATTTGTGGAGTGGATGAAAAACTAGTTTTAATGACTCCAACCTAAGTGTATGTAAACTTCCGACTTCAACTGTATGATTTTATGTGGGAAGCACTGGAGTCCACATGGGCCATCATCCCTGTGGAATGCTTTTGACACCTTGTAGAGTCCCTGACGAATTGAGGCTGTCCTGAGGGCAAAAGGGGGGGTTCAACTCAATATTAGGAAGGTGTTCCTAATGTTTGGTATACTCAATGTATATGGCACTTCTGGGTGTAAATAGCTAATATATGTTCAGGCAGGTGACCAAAAAAATACTCCTGGTTTGGGTAGTGCCTTTCAGACTTTAATGTCAATCCCTGAGTCACATATACTATTCCCATTTTACATTTAAATTGACATTTTAGTCATTTAGCAGATGCTCTTATCCAGAGCGACTTAAAGTTAGTGCATTCATCTTAAGACGGCTAAGTGGGACAACTACATATCTCAGTCATAGTAATTACATTTTTCCTCAATGAAGTAGCTATCAGCAAAGTCAGTTCTAGTAATTGTATTTTTATTTTTAATCCCCACCCAAGACCGGGGTTCAATCCTCACATCCACCCTTCCTAAGTGCAAAATAATGTCCTTTTTTCTTTTACTGTTTACATTTTCTTGAACTACACTAAATTGATACTTCATAGTAGTCCCTCATGAAACACTGAATGCCAAATCGAGAGCTGGCCGGTATTCTTGCAAAATTGGGTTCTCGGTTCCGAAATTAACTTTATAGTGATATTTCATTAATTAGAAAGTCACTCTGAAAGAGGAATGGATTAAATATATATATATATATACAGTGCATTCGGAGAGTATACAGACCCTTCCCTTTTTCCACATTTTGTTACGTTACAGTCGTATTATAAAATTGATTTTTTTTTAAATATCATCAATCTACACACAATACTCCATAATGACAAAGCGAAAACATGTTTTTCAAAATGTTTAATATTACAAAAATACGATTAAAAAATATATCTTATTTACATTGGTATTCAGACCATTGGCTATGAGACTCGAAATTGAGATCAGGTGCATTCTGTTTCCATTGATCATACTTGAGATGTTTCTACAACTTAATTGGAGTCCACCTGTGGTAAATTCAATTGATTGGACATGATTTGGAAAGGCACACACCTGTCTATATAAGGTCCCACAGTTGACAATGCATGTCAGAGCAAAAACCAAGCCATGAGGTCGAAGGAATTGTCCGTAGAGCACCAAGACAGGATTGTGTCGAAGCACAAATCTGGGGAAGGGTACCAAAAAAGTTCTGCAGCATTGAAGGTCCCCAAGAACACAGTGGCCCCCATCATTCTTAAATTGAAGAAGTTTGGAACCGCCAAGACTCTTCCTAGAGCTGGCCGCCCGGCCAAACTGAGCAATCGGGGGAGAATGGCCTTGGTCAGGGAGGTGACCAATAACCCGATGGTCACTCTGATAGAGTTCCAGAGTTCCTCTCTGGAGATGGGAGAACCTTCCAGAATGACAACCATCTCTGCAGCACTCCACCAATCAGGCCTTTATGGTAAAGTGGCCAGATGGAAGCCACTCCTCAGTAAAAGGCACATAACAGCCCACTTGGAGTTTGCCAAAAGGCTCCTAAAGGAGTCTCAGACCAAGAGAAACAAGATTCTCTGGTCTGATGAAACCAAGATTGAACTCTTTGGCCTGAATGCCAATCGTCACATCTGGAGGAAATCTGGCACTATCCCTACGGTGAAGCATGGTGATGGCAGCATCATGCTGAGGGGATGTTTTTCAGCGGCAGGGACTGGGAGAATGGTCAAGATCGAGGGAAAGATGAACAGAGCAAAGTACAGAGAGATCCTTGATGAAAACCTGCTCCTAAGTGCTCAGGACCTCAGACTGGGGTGAAGGTTCACCTTCCAACAGGACAACGACCCTAAACAGACAGCCAAGACAACGCAGGAGTTGCTTCGGGACAAGTCCCGGAATGTCCTTGAGTGGCCCAGCCAGAGCCCGGACTTGAACCCCATCAAACATCTCTGGAGAGACCTGAAAATAGCTGTGCAGCGACACTCCCCATCCAACCTGACAGAGCTTGAGAGGATCTGCAGAGAAGAATGGGAGAAACTGTCACAGATCCCCCTGGTACTGCTGCTCATTCCATTCACCAGCTCCGGAGGTCTACGTCACCAGCCTTCTAGGCGTCACTGACCTGGTTCATTACCACCAACCCCAGACTGTCTTGTCTCATTACGCACACCTTAATTCCCCCTGATTAATATGTGTATATATGTGCCCTCTGTTCCCCATTGTCCTTGTCGATTATTGTCCCATGACCGTTGGTCTCGTGAGTACCGTGTATTGTGCTCTTGTTGTTACTGGTCTCGTCCCGTGTATTGTGTAGTGGTTTACACCTCGCTTTTTTGGGGGGTTACATCCCTTTGTTATATATATATATATATATATATATATACGTGTTTGTTTTGGGCTTCGTCCCCGCCGTTTTTCATGACGTACCTTGTTGGGTGGAGTAAATAAAACCCCTAATACGTATTCCTGCGCCTATCTTCTAATCATTATACAACGTGACAGAATAATCAACCTATAAAAATGGAGACAGTGAGAAAGGCCGAGCTGGCGACCATCGTAGAGACAGTCCAGCATCACAAGGACTGTCTCTCCAGACTCAGCAGCGCCATGGACAGCGTGCTGGCAACCATCCTGCGGTTGGAGGGGAAAGTGCAGTCCCTCCAGTCTCCAGCACCGGTTCCGGCACCAGCCCCTATGCCACCACTACCTGCCTCCGTCCCATCCGAGCCAGTCAGCGGAATTCCCCTGTCACTCCTGGAGTGCTTTGACGGCACATTAGCGAGATACAAGGTTTTCCTTCTGCAGTGCTACCTTTACCTCGTTCTCTACGCCGAGGCTGTCTCCGGGAGGGACAGGGTTGCCACAGTCATCTTGGCACGGACCGGACGGGCCCTGGACTGGGGTGCCGTGGTCTGGAAGACGCGCGGACTCGAGGTCGAGTCCTACGAGCGCTTCACCCTCCTCTTCCGCTCGGTGGAGGCCGCTCGATCATCCTGTGGAGGGCCAAGATGGGGGTGAGTGTCTACTCCGACTACGCCAGGGATCTAGGACCGCCTCGGAGTTCTCCCTGGAGTTCCGGACCATCGCGGCCTCCAATGGATGGAACGAGTCGGCTCTGGTCACCGTTTTCCGCAGTGGACTGCAGGAGGCAATACAGATGGAGTTAGCCTGCCGTGATGACAACCTGTCACTCGACCAGCTCATCAGCATGGCAATGCGGTTGGACAACCACCTGTGGTCCCGACGAAGACCTGGGCGGAATCCGGAGCCCATGGCTACACCTGCTCCGTGGCCAGAGCCGATGGAGGTGGGCTCTGCACTTTTGCCCGAGGCAGAGCGTAGGAGAAGGAGGAATCTGGGCCTATGCTCCTATTGTGGTGAAAGGGGTCATTTCTCCCCGATCTGCCCTCTATCCACTAATAGGCAAAGAGGCGAGAAGCCAGGGATCTCCTCTCCTTCTCTGTCAACTCAACCAGTGTGTTTTTCCATTAAATTCCCTGAATACCCAAACCCCTCACTCCCGTTAGCTCTGATTGATTCTGTAGCTGTTGGGAATCTTTTAGATAGCACACTGGCCACTGCATTATGCATTCTGTTGGTTCCCTTAAAGTCACCCATTCCGGTTCGAGCCCTGGATAATCGTCCAATAGGCACAGGGCTCGTACATCAGATCACTGTTCCTGTTTCTCTGCTCACCCATGACACTCATTTAGAACAGATCACCTTTTTGATTATAGATACCCACACGCACCCCGTTGTTTTAGGTCTCCCCTGGTTGAGTTGGCATAACGCTGTTATTTGCTGGTCCGAGAGGAGACTGCTGGGTTGGTCGCAGGAGTGTCAGGGTAGGTGTCTGGCGGTGTCTGTCAACACCACTACAATGGAAAGTCCGGACCACACCACTCAAGTGGATTTACCGGAGGAATACCAGGATCTGGACCGGGTTTTCTCTAAAACCCAGGCTACATGCCTGCCTCCTCATTGCCCCTGTGACTGTGCCATTGACCTTCTGTTTGACGCAGTCCTCCCGAGAGGATATGTCTATCCCCTCTCCTACGCGGAGACCGAGGCAATGAGACCTACATAAAGGAGAGCCTCCAGCAATCTGGTGCGCATTCATGCAGGAGACAAATAGAAAACTGCCTTTTCGACGACCACGGGGCATTACGAGTATCTCGTAATGCCCATTGGCTTGTCTAATGCTCCTTCAGTCTTCCAGGCCTTTATTAACAAAGTGTTTCGGGACATGCTGGAAAGGGTGTAGGGGTTTATATAGACAACATTTTGGTCTATTCTGCTGACCGAGCCAAGCATGTCTCATTAGTCAGGTCTGTGCTGAGAAGACTGTTGGAGCATAATCTCTATGTTAAACAAGAAAAATTATTGTTTTTCCAGTGGTCCGTGTCCTTCTTGGGCTACCTCATATCCACGGAGGGAGTGGAGATGGAGGAGCAATGCGTCAGCGCAGTCAGGTCATGGCCCATCCCCAACTCTGTGAAAGCAGTCCAGCGATTTCTGGGGTTTGCCAACTATTTCCGGAAGTTCATCCGGGCCTTCAGCACGGTGGTCACATCTCTTACCTCCCTGCTGAGAGGAGGTCCCCAGTGGCTTCGTTGGACAGCGGAGGCAGAGAGGGCGTTCGAGATGCTGAAGGCACGCTTCACCACTGCTCCCGTGCTGGCACATCCCGACCCCTCACTCCCCTTCATCGTCGAGGTGGATGCCTCCGAAGTAGGAGTCGGGGCAGTGCTGTCCCAGCGCACCTGAATCCTTCCAAAACTGTGGCCCTGCAACTTCTACTCCAAGTAGCTGAGCCCCGCCCAGAGGAACTACGACATAAGGGACCGGGAACTTGGTGGTCAAGAAGGCTCTGAAGGCGTGGAGGCACTGGCTGGAGTGGTCCAAACACTCTTTCCTGGTGTGGACGGCGGACCACCACAACCTTGGCTAGGGACGTCTGGGTTTACATATCTTCCTGCTCCATCCGTGCCCAGTCTAAGATACCCAGACACCTCCCTTATGGAAAGCTCCTTCCCCTGCCGGTTCCACAACGACCCTGGTCTTACCTCTCGGTGGACTTTGTCACTGACCTTCTCCCCTCCCAGGGGAACACCACCGTTCTCGTCGTTGTCGACCGGATTTCCAAAGCTTGTCACCTCCTTCCACTACCTGGGCTCCCGTTGGCCATGCAAACTGCAGACGCTCTTTTTACACACGTCTTCCGGCAATACGGGATCCCGGAGGACATTGTGTCAGACCGCGGTCCTCAGTTCACCTCACGCGTATGGAAAGTGTTCATGGAACGCCTGGTGGTCACGGTCAGTCTCACCTCCGGGTGCCATCCTCAAGCTAATGGGCAGGTGGAGAGGGTCAATCAGGAAGTGAGCAGGTTCCTGAGGTGTTACTGTCAGGACTGGCCGGGGGAGTGGGCGGATTTTCTACCTTGGGCTGAGTACGCGCAGAATTCCCTCCACCACTCCTCCACTAACCTCACTCCTTTCCAGTTCGTGTTGGGGTATCAGCCAGCCCTGGCACCTTGGCATCCGAGCCAGAACAAGGCCATTGCGGTGGATGAGTGGTTTCGGCACACTGAGGAGATCTGGAACGCTGCGCACACTCGTCTCCAACGGGCCGTGGTCGGCACAAGGAACAGGCCGACCTCACTGCAGTGAGGCGCCTGTTTTCTCTCCAGGCAACCGGGTCTGGCTCTCCACCCGGAACCTGCCCCTCCGCATGCCCTTCCGGAAGCTGAGCCCGCGGTTTGTGGGGCCATTTAATGTCCTGACCAGGGTTAATGAGGTAACGTACCGTTTGCAACTCCCTGCTGATTACCGCATTAACCCGACTTTTCATGTGTCTCTCCTCAGGCCAGTGGTGCCTGGTCCCCTCGCTGAGGCTGGACCCAGTGACACCCCGCCTCCTCCTCTAAACTTCGAGGGAGGTCCGGCATACTCGGTCCGTGAAGTCCTGGATTCGAAGCATCGAGCGGGGCGTCTCCAATACCTCATCAACTGAGTGGGGTACAATCCAGAGGAGCAGTGCTGGGTTCCTGCGGTGGACATCCTGGACGTTTCACTGACCAGGGATTTTCACCGTCGGCGCCCTGACAGAAGACTGTCTTGTCTCATTATGCACACCTGGTTCCCATTCCCCCTGATTAATATGTGTATATATGTGCCATCTGTTCCCCATTGTCCTTGTCGATTATTGTCCCATGACCGTTGGTCTCGTGAGTACCGTGTATTGTGCTCTTGTTATTATGGGTCTCATCCCATGTATTGTGTAGAGGTTTACACCTCGCTCTTTTGTTTGGGTTACATCCCTTTGTTATATATACACGTGTTTGTTTTGGGCTTCGTCCCCGTCGTTTTTCATGATGTACCTTGTGTTGGGTCGAGTAAATAAAACCCCTAATACGTATTCCTGCGCCTGTCTTCTAATCATTATACAACGTGACAGAAAATCCCAAAATACAGGTGGGCCAAGCTAGTAGCGTCATACCCAAGAACACTCGAGGCTGTAATCACTGCCAAAGGTGCTTCAAAAAAGGACTAAATAAAGGGTCTGAAAACTTATGTAAATGTGATATTTCAGTTTGTTTATTTGAATAAATTTGGTAAAATGTCTAAAAACCTGTCTTTGCTTTGTTATTATGGGGTATTGTGTGTAGATTGATGAGGGGGAAAAAACAATTATCAATTTTAGAATAAGGCTGTAACATAACAAAATGTGGAAAAAGTCAATACTTTCCGAATGCACTGTATATATTTATTTTGACAGTATGGAAATCAGAAGGGGGTACAGGCAGGTGGGGAAAGAACGGTGGGAAGGGTAGACTTGAACCCCAAACTCCAATGGGGAGATTTATATATGTGACATGTGCCAGGAGTGTTACACCTCAACCACAGCTCTGCACAAACGGATGCCCTCTTGACTATGTCTGTGGTACTTGTGATGTCATCCCAACATCTCTTCTGTCTCTGACTCATGTGTTTCCACAGGTTGGCTTCCGGAAGGGCGGCATCCAGCTCCTTGGTCCTATGGGCAGGAGGACGCAAATGGAGGTGGTGCTGGCTGGCGTGCTGCTCTCCTCTCTCCTCGCCCTGTTCGGATGTGCCGTCACGCTGGGCATGCACTACAACAAAGGTGAGAAGCCTTTGGTTACACACACTCACGCATGCATGAACACAAATACACACCCACACACACAAGCAAGCACACACACACACGGGTTATGTCTTATAATAAGGCTTATAATATGTTATGTCTCCCTGTGTATCAACATTTCAACTGGCTGGTGTTTAGCAGTGTCATTATGAGTGATTATTAAGACATTATGGAGTCATACATGCTTGTGACAAAAGTATTGTGAACTTGCATTATAACCACATCATGAAGCATTATACTGTACCTTTATAAACCATTACAGAATTCTGTTTTTCTGCCTTGACACCAGACCCAGCGCGGAGCCTGTGTCTGACTGAGGCCTGTATTACGGTGGCCAGTAAGATCGTAGAGGCCCTGGACCGCAGCGCTGACCCCTGCCAGGACTTCTACCAGTACGCCTGTGGGGGCTGGGTCCGCAAAAACCCCCTCCCTGACGGACGCTCTCGCTGGAGCACCTTCAACAGCATCTGGGACCAGAACCAGGCTGTCCTCAAACACCTGCTGGGTGAGTTGGAACCAAATACACAATACACAGACACACTCACACACAAACACATACAGTACACACACGTATATACTGTAAACATACCGTATTACCGTATCAAAAAAGAGCACGATTTCGTGACAATGTTGACAGTGTTGGGAGTGTGTTGGCAATGTGTTAACAGTGTTGACAGTTTTGAAAGGTGGAAGTGTTGACAGGCCTGGTTCTAGTTTATTTGCTGGTCTGTTCAGGTCAGCATATAGAGCCTGGTCCCAGATCTGTTGGGGCTGTATGGCCAAACTCTTGACAGCACAAACAGGTCTGGGACCAGGGCATGCCAGATTGAATAATGGCCCACCCAATCAAGCGGACTTAAAATATATTACAAAAATACAATAAATGAACTTGATTCATTGGTTGTATTGTCTCCTGACTCATCAGAACGGTTGAAAATACAGTAGGAGGTTCCTGGGATCTAATTGGTTATATAGCAATCATATGGTAAATCAGAAGCCTACAGTTGAAGTCCACAATTTGGGCAGCACGCGCGGGCAAATATAAAATAGCTGATTGTCGAGTTGAGGCTGTCAGTGAGAAGCATCTAAAATAGCCCTAGGCCTATTGCAACATTTAAAAGTTCAATCACGGAACGAACACAAAAGTCAGAATGATCCAAGAATTGTAGTGTACACTGTAAAAAAAAAAATCCTATTGTTTTTACAGTATCTTACTGGCAGCCAGTAGTTTATTCCCATTAGTAGGCTACACCAGGACCTATCTCTTGGCACTAGTGGAGTGCGTCAACCATATTCCTGGTGAGTGCACATATTCACGGTCTTTATCATTGGGTGAGGCAGTCACTGGAACGTTTAGGCCTAGATTAGATGGTTGCATTCAAGACGAGGTCGTTTTTATTGATCTCCGTTTGTCAGTATCAGCAGAGTAGGACTATCCTGTCATTTTTGTAGTATGCCTATTATTAAAGATTATGATAGTGTCGTAGAATTGCATGAAATGTATTTATAAATGGCAAAAAAATTCCTGGATCCTCCTAAAATGTTTTCCTCTAGCCGGGGCTGAGCTGCTTCCCCAAATATGAAAGTCATCTATGATATTGTAGCCTATTTCATTATGTTTGTTTACTGTTGGACTCGGACAGTCGGCCTGTTTTTTCCAGCGGTGTTGTAACTTGTGTAGTTGCGCTGCCTACTTGCCAATCCCTTTGTGGTGTTTCTTGGTCACATTTATCCTGTGTTGTGTTAAATTATGCAATGTGATTGCACTAATTTTCACTTAAATTCGTTGGGGTATTTTTGCTGGAAAATGTTGGCCCAGTCACTTTTACTCATGCCCAGCCACATGGCAATTTCTGCCTACGCCACTGGACCAGGCTAGTCAGCATCTACAGTGCTGTGTGGTTTCTGAGGCCAGCTGATTCAGCTTGCCTTGCTAAGTGGGCAGACCAGGGATGTGTCCCGAGTGGCACCCTATTCCCTTTAGTGGCACCCCATTACCTTTTGCCCTTGTGCACTATGAAGGGAATAGAGTGCCAGTTGGGACAGAACCCAGACCTGTGGCTGAGGGCCACTCACAGTGCAGTTCTGGTGAATACCTTGCTGCCTCCGGTGCATGCAGAACTTTATGCTCCATTGAATGTTAAATTAAAACTATTCCCTACTGGGATGCCAGCCTCACTCCACTGTACCAGAGGTTACTGTGACACTTTCAGCCCTACTAGTGGGAGAGCCACTGAAGCTTAAAGAGCGTGTGTTTGTGTGTGTGTGTGTGTATGCTTGTGTGTGCATGTGTGTATGCTTCTGTGTGTACTTGTGTGTATGTGTGTGTGTACCAGAGGTTAATGTGACCCTGTTTGTTCCCCTTTAGCTGCCCTACTAGCAGGAGAACCACTGAAGCTTAAAGAGGGAGTGTGTGTGTGTATGCTTGTGTGTGCATGCGTGCATGTGTGTATATTTGTTTGTGCTTGTGTGTGTACTTGTGTGTATGTGTGTATATCCGTACAGTGAACAATATTATGCTTGTCCGAATGTGATTGTGTTAGCGATTCAGAAGAGAGATATGGCTTTCTCCCAGTAGTCTGTTTTGATGCTGCTTGTCAACGGTGCCTTTTTGTTCGACCATACAGAGAAAAAACAAACAGCACTTAATGAACTGTGCGCTGGTTTAGAATTACTCCTCGTCAACAACAGTCAGGAAGCAGTGTCTGGCTGAGGGCTTGTCCCAAATGGCACCCTATTCCCTATTTAGTGCACTACTTTTGAATAGGGTGCCATTTGTGACGTAACCTGAGTTGTCCTCTCAGTAAAGTGTGTGTGCGTGTTGTCCTCTCAGTAAAGTGTGTGTGCGTGCGTGCGTGTGCATATGTGCATGCGTGCATACAAGCTTGGGTGCTTGTGTGTGTGTGGGATGCTGCTAACTTAATAGCAGAATATTCCAGCTCTGAGTCTTTTCATTTAATTAAGTCTGCAACCATCAGTGTGAGATGGACCAGACCATCCTTTGAGGTCACGTCATAAAAAATAATAATATATATATTGTTGACAAAAGGGCATGAGTTATAGCTTCTGTATGATAATTAATTTATCTGTTCTGCAGCGCTGGCCGGTCATATTTCAGCAGTGTGTGCGTTGCCATGACAGCAGTGCTTCAGAGCGAATGACGATATGCAGCTTTGGCGAGCATGTGACTAAAAAACGATCCTACCACATCCTGTCTTCGATCTCCTCCTCTCGTTCTCAACACCTTTCTTCATGTTTTTTACTCACTTGTTTCACATGTCATTTCCCCTGTGGGTAGCACTCTAAAGCTTGCTGCTTAAAACCCCTAACTTCCTATCTCTCTCCCCCATCTTTCTCGTTCTCGCTACCTCTCCCTCTGCTCTCTGTCTCGTTCTCTCTCCCTGACTCTCTCCCATCTCGCTCTTTCTCACTCTCCCTCTATCTCGCTCTCTTTCTTTAGGGCGGCAGGTAGCTTAGTGGTTAAGAGCGTTGTGCCAGTAACCGAAAGGTCGCTGGTTCTAATCCCCGAACCGACTAGGTGAAAAATCTGTCGATGTGCCCTTGAGCAAGGCACTTAACCCTAATTGCTCCTGTAAGTCGCTCTGGATAAAAGCGTCTGCTAAATGACTAATTATTATTATTAATTATTATTATTATTATTATAATTATTTCTCTCCATTTCCTTCTCTCTGGATCTTCAGTGTTTATTTTTTCCATTGATGCAGATGAAGGCTGCCCACTAAAAACAGATGGTTCTATATAGTGCCAAATAAGGGTTATTTGGCTTATAACCTTAGTGGATCCCTTTTTGCTGCTATATGGAAACTTTTTTTGAAGATTCTATAAAGAACCCTTTCCTAAGGTAAAAAAACCTATATAGAACGCTTTTTTATGGTTCTTTATAGAACCTTTATGGAGAATGGTTCTATAAAGAACCTTTCTCAATCTCAAAGGTTCTTTGTAGAACTATATATGGGTATTAATTCTGGTTCAATAGCCATATTATATTGTTAAAATTCCATAGGTTTTATTATTATGTTTATTAACAAGTTGAGTAAGGTGTGCTAGCTCTGGAACGGCTGGGGGTCCCTGAGGAGAGAATTGAGAGCTACTGACTTAGTCAACCGTTCAAAATTGACACAAGGCCATACGTGAGTCTTTCAGAAGACACCATCACTGGCCATAGTCATATACTGTATGTGTGTGTGTGTGTGTGTGTGTGTGTGTCCCAACCAGCCCCCAGCTCCCTAACTGCCAGATCAGTCAGCCATGGTTCAACCGCGGTTTAACTGTCCATGACATCCTGTTATTTGCTTCAAACCTGTCCTCATCTCCTGTCATGGTAATTCACTTACAGTGAGGGAAAAAAGTATTTGATCCCCTGCTGATTTTGTACGTTTGCCCACTGACAAAGAAATGATCAGTCTATAATTTTTATGGTAGGTTTATTTGAACAGTGAGAGACAGAATAACAACCAAAAAATCCAGAAAAACGCATGTCAAAAATGCTATAAATTGATTTGCATTTTAATGAGGGAAATAAGTATATATATATATATATATGTCTTTGTCAGTGGGCAAACGTACAAAATCAGCAGGGGATCAAATACTTTTTTTCCTCACCGTATACTGTAAAAAATAAAAAGTTAATTTAACTAATTATTATTTAGTAACTGGTTCCACTGCCTTTTTTAGTTTACTTAACTTTTCTGTCAGTGTTACCTGAACTTAACATTTTTCATTGGCCCAAATTTAGATCCAAAATTAAAATAGTGCTTTTAACATACAATGTTTTCAATTTACGTATTTGACACACGTTGACACATATTATTACATTGAGCATGATCATTTATAAAGTAGTTATTATTCAACATGTCCTCACCTGGGATTGGAACTCACAACCAGTTGGTTCACAGCATTCCAATCTTCTTACTGTGCCATCATTACTGTGGATGACTTTTTTCACCTGAATTCCTACACTTTGCACTTCAAAGTAAGTCTCAGCTCTGTTAAAAGTACATTCAAGAAAAACTATTTTATTTATCATAGTGATAAAGGAGTAACATTAAAACCGAAAATAAGTAAATCAAATCAATTATGAGAGAATAGTCAGATTAACTGATAACTGGCACAGACATGGTGGCATAGCAGGAAGATCAGAATGCCATGAACCAAGAGGTTGTGAGTTCAAATCCAGACAAGGACATGTTGAATAATATTTACTCTATAAATGAGCATGCACAATGTCAACGTGACAAATATGTATGTTGAAAACAATGTATTTTAAAAGCACTGTGGGCGTCCCTAACCTAATTTTTCTCAAAACCAAATGTTTCTCAAGTTGGAGCTTTGGGCCAACTAAACTTTTTAAGTTCAGTTAACACTTTGACTGAATAGTTGAATAAACTTAACAAGGCTGTGGAACTACCTACTAAATAAATATTAGCTGAATCAACTCATTTTTTTTAATTTTTTACAGTGTATATAGAAGGAAATGACAGGTCTTGTCTCTGCCTCACACAATCACATTGTTCACCTCCTCCTCATCCATCTTCTCCTCTTGTTCCCTCCCCCTCTTTTCCCCTCCTTTAGAGAACGGCACGTTCAACTCCAGCAGCGATGCCGAGAAGAAGACTCAGTACTACTACCTGTCCTGCCTCAACGAGCAGCACATCGAGGAGCTGGGAGCCACGCCTCTCATTGACCTCATCGCAAAGGTCAGCTTGATTTGCTCTCTGGGCCTGCTGGGTAGGCTGAGTTGTACCTTCAGACACATGAAATGGTTCAAAATGGGAGCACTTTGTCTTCCCGGCGCTAGTGCTGCTGAATCAAGTGCACCTACCGCCAACAGCGCGACACAAATAAATAAAAAAATAGGAATGCAAGGCTTTATTGTTGGTTTTTTTACGGAAATGTTTGGTGATCGACTAGGAATGCGTTAGAGATTGACCGGTTGGTGACCACTGCTCTAGGCCATGCCTACACCAATCCAGTGCTTTTACATTTGTGGGGAGTAATGAACAAGAGCACACTTCAGGAGGAAGGAGATATTATTGGGACACAACCAACCACGCACTCCATGAAGCCTTGAAGGTAGTAATGAGCGATGAACAGACGAATAGTTCTGTTTTTTCTGAGCCCAATGCACCATTTCTCTGGAGAGAAATCTAGTCAATAACTATTTGGGACGCTGGGCTGAAGGGAGTTGTAGTTTTCATTAAGCAAATATTCAACCTAGTTTAGCGTAGAAACATGGTAATTAACTACCATGACCATAATCCATTGCGCCTGTTTTTTCAGCTCAGAGATGGATACACTTATACGCCTACTACATTCTACGTTAGGTTAGATACACACAGACTGCATAGACCGCATGAGAGAGGAATGTACACAACACAAGGATTAAAGAGAGGGATAGTGTATGCCATCTCTACTTTGAAGAACTAGTAAAATGATTGTCAGACAGTTCTGCAGCATGTTTAGGCAGGCTAGCTTAGCTAAATAGGATGACTAAAGACAGTACAGTATGAGGAGCACAGAGATAACATTGTCTGTCTGTTTGGCTGCTACTGCCTGAGCAGAGATGAGATGATGACTTTAAGGAATGAAAAATAATAAAGTCAGCTAAGTAATATACACAATTGAAATATTGTATTATTTCATAGTAATTTTCTATTTTTTATTGATGTCTCCCCAATGTGTAGGTACCTGACAGTGACAATGGAATATTTGTAATGTTTTGGCAATTGAATGTTCAATATTTTTGGCTTTGGAATTGTAATTAAAAGCTCTAAAATCATGTTTTTAAAAAAGTAATCGAAAACCATGATAATTAGTTTTAAAGAAGAAAGGAATAAAGAAAGAAATAGCTATAAATTCACTGTCCTCTTTCTAATCTAATCTGAGAACTGAAGTGATGGCTGCTGAGAAGCAGCTTGAAGTACCGGCTCGTCTGTCTCCTGTCTTATTTCTACCAGGTGGCAGGTTTGAGGGAGATTGGAAATTGAAGAACACAAGCTGTAGAAATAGGACTGGGTGTGATTGATGTGTGTGTGCCTTCTTACTCCAATCCTGTGACAAGACGCCATTTATCTGACTATACGATTTTAATATGTGTGTGTGTTCCTGGAGGTGTCATGTTGTTTTGTCTTTAATGTGCAAAGGAATAAAATGACAAATTATTAATCGGAAAGAAAATGCTATACTATACTGTAGTGATAAATCAAAATGCTCTGGGGTGAGGTTTTCCCCCTAGCATTAGTGGGGGAAAATGCAAAACTGACCCAAAAACAGCGTCTAGGGGCAACTTCATCTTATACCAATAAAAATAATAATAGATGTATCTCTGTGTCTCTGAGCTTGTCGTCCCTCTGTTTTTTTTGTGTGTGTCTGTGTGTTTTTGTGTGTGTGTGTGTGTGTGTGTTTGCAGACAGGGGGCTGGAACATCACGGGGCCCTGGGAGAAGGACAACTTTATGGAGGTGCTGAAGACAGTGTCGGGCCCCTACCATGCACAGCCCTTCTTTACCATCGGAGTCAGCGTGGACCCCAAGAACTCCAACAGCAACGTCATCCAGGTCAGCTGCTCTGGCTCTGGCTCTTTTGAAATGAAAATACATGTACTAGCACACACACATAAACACATAGGCGCATGCATGCATAGACACACAGTGGTAAAGTGGTATGGTTCCCCTGTTGCTCTTTCCTGAGTCATAAACTAAACTGTGGGGATTCATTTGTTTGAAAAGTGATAGATATGCACATCTAATATTTTTTTAACAGGTGCCGAATATGACAGTGAATGGACTCTGCACATTGCAATTCATTCTCCCTTATGATTAGTGTGTTTGCTCACCTGTTGATGCATTTCTGCCAGGTCGACCAATCGGGGCTGTTCCTCCCCTCGCGGGACTATTACCTCAACAAGACAGCCAATGAAAAGGTGAGTAAAGTTCAGGTGGCTGGAGGGGGTGAGGTGGGGTCTTTTCCTACCTATGGCTGTCAACATGAGCTACCGTAACAAATTAACATATATTACTGTCATAATAATGGCTGGAATGGCATAAATGGAATGTATTGGATACCACCGGCCGCCTGGGATTACTGTAGAATACAACACCTTTATTATCCCAAGCTTGGGAATTTCATTTGGCATTTGAAGCTTCACAACATCATTAAAACACAAAATATCATAATGTCGTCATACATGTACTGTCTGCAGAAGATGGCTTCCCCTCCTGTTGTATCTGCATATGCTTCCATGGAGGGGGTGGCTCACATCATCCATTATCTGTTTATCTAAACGTTGACGTGTATCTTGTTGTTCCATTCTACTTTCCCTTCCACATAGCCTGTCACAAATCTCTCTGACACATACCGGGCATATTTTACCTTAACTGACTAAGAGAATAGTAGTGGTCACTTCACAACGGACTAGAAATACTGAAACCTTCCACAGAAGATGAAGCCAGCAGCAGGTGTTTCATTTTGATTGCTCTCATTCTCTTGTGACTGTACCACACCAGAGTAGAGCCAGGAGTTTTGACTAACCAATGGTGTTTCACCAGGAAAAACTCTGGGCCCTAGTTATAGTCACTGTAGCCAGAGTTTTTTCTGATCAGGTCAGGTGGTCAAGAAAAACTCCTGACCCTACTCTAGTCTGCAGCATATCCCAGGGGTGGCCAATCCTCCTCCTGGAGACCAACTAGATGTGCAGTCTTTTGTTCCAGCCCTACTAGGACACACCAGATTCAGCTAATCAAGGTCCTAAGGAGCAGCTGATTAGAATTAGGTGTGTTAACACTAATTAGAGCAGGGCTAGAACAAAATCCAGGTGGAGGGTTTTGCAATGGAAAATGAAAACAGGCATTTCTCATTGAAGAAGTTCTGGTAGTACCTGTTTTCGGACCGCTGTCTTCCATTTGGTGGTGACTGAACACGACCCTGAGCTTATCCTGTATCCCCTCCCAGGTGTTGAAGGCGTATCTGGACTACATGGTGGAGCTGAGCCTGCTGTTGGGGGGGGATAAAACCTCCACACAGAGCCAGATGCAGCAGATCCTGGACTTTGAAACGGCGCTCGCCAACATCACAGTACCCCAGGACGAACGTCGCGACGAGGAGAAGATATACCACAAGATCACCATCGCCCAGCTGCAGGTGTGTGTGCGTCTGTGGGGTGGGGGTTACAAAGAGAGAGAACATGTGGGCTTCCATGTGCAAGCAATTGCATGGACGTGAGTATGTATGAGAGAGAGAGGTACATACAGTATGTGAGGTGGATTTTTTGTGAGGTGGATTTTGTGTGGATCAGAATCCCATGCCATCCGATAAGGCTTTAAAGCCTCTCGGAGTTTACTCTTACTCAATTACAGTTTGTTCCCACTTTTTCTCCTGCATCCATTAGTGTCAAAACATTTTTTTCTCACAGCCTCTCCCACACTGACTCACCACTACCATCTGAAACCCTGAGCCTCTTCACACTTTGTCTGTGTTTTATCCCTCCTCTGAGGACTACTCTACTCTGCCACTCCTGCAGTCCTCTTTTTTGTTTGTGAATGCTACCCTGGTTACCAAGGTGACTGTTGCTAAGCCCTTTTATCTCCACGGCAGCAACAGAACAATGGTGAAGGGAATGCAAGTGGTTGGAGGACATCGAGGAGCATTTCGTCAACAAACAGAGATAGAATGAATGGAGAGATGGTTCTCTGTTACATAGGAATTTAACTTCAGCATTTGTAGGATGGGTTGAATCAGTGAAATGGGTGGTAATGGGTAGATTGTGTTTACCACTGACATTTGAATGTAATGGCTCTAGAAAATCACAGTCTGTTAACCTTAAGTTTGCAAACACAGTCGAGTTGATGAGGCATGACTTTGAATGGCAATGCCATAGATAATTTGTTCTGTTTCTGATGGTTCTAAACACTGGATTATTACATTAACTCCAGGGTCATGTGGAATGGATTGAAACAGGGAAGGACTAGCTGTCGTTGTCTGTTGCAAAATGTTGTCTGTTGCAAAATGACCCTGTTCCCAATGACCTCTTAAATGGACCCCTAATGTTTTCTACTACAACACTGGAATACATAGACATACCGTAAAGGAATGGGAGGGAGCTACTATGATCCTATCCTTACTAGCATTGCACGTTACACCGAAACATCAGTACATGAAAAACGGTTTGGTACTAGAATTTTCAAACGTGTCTCACGTTTGAAAATGAACTAAATGTATTGAACTTTTTAGCAAAATGTATTTGCCCAAGTTTATCATAAGACATTAACAGAATGCATCAGCAAATTGTATTCCCTGCAACTTTCTGACGAGGCAACCGTACTGGAATACCCCTATTTGTGTGTGTGCGGTGCACATATGTCTACCACTTTATGTTGCCGTTAGCGACGATAATGATAACCATCTTCAGGTAGATGGAAAGGCTTTCCCAAAAACCTTCTCAATTAAAAGTAGCCTATGCCTACCTGGCAGAATCATGATTATTTGTATAAATCCAGTAGCCATATGATTTGTGAACTCCATCACATGTGTGTTAAACATTTTACATTTGAGTAGACTGCCTTATCCAGAGCGACTTACAGTAGTGAGTGCATACATTTTCATACTTTTTTCGTACTGGTCCCCCGTGGGAATCGAACCCAAAACCCTGGTATTGCAAGTGCCATGCTCTACCAACTGGGCCAAGGACAGGATATCGCTCATCATTCGAGGTTGTGCCAGCAGGAATTAACAAGTGTAGCGAATTCGGGGGGCATTTTCTACCAAGAATGAACATACTCGCCGACCCTGTATCGACTCTCGACACGGCTGCTGTATTTAGCCTTGAATCCTTCCGACAATCCTCGTTCCTCGTAAATCTGCCATCATCCATAACTTTTTATTATGAAAACCCGTCTCTTTTTGTCAAACCGCTTACCCTCTTCAGGATTCAAATTTATAGAAGGGTAGCCTAAATGTGTTAAGCCTAAACACCACTGGAGTAAAAATCTTGTTTATCTCAAATAAGAGAAATGGCTTAATCTATACATTTCATATCAAGTTCACATCGAAAACGTAATGTTAATTAAGATATTTTGATTGTAGATCAATGAAGTAATTGAAGACACAGAATTGGTGGAAGATGTGAGAATGACAAATATACTCTAATTGTTTGAAATCAGTGCACATAACACACAAGCAGGACAATTAAATAGTTTATACAATGGAGCATTCAAAGACTGACATTAATTTATCAAAATGTAATTAGAAAATTCAGCTAAGGGCTTTTGTGCTCAGGGTGAATTAAGGGGAGAATACTGTTGAGGAATACACCAATTAAAAAGTATTCTGTGTATATACAGTTAAACAACACAGAGGGACAAACAATTGAACACAAATAATTACAATTATATATAATTAACTGAAAATGTTGAGCGACTGATCGCTGGCTCCATCAGAATGCCCAGCCCGTAAGGAGCAGAGGACGGGGCTGACTGAGGGACAGCCGAGCACTGGTGTCGAAGGCACGGACAGAGGCCCAGCCGGGCACAGGTGTCAAGGCCACGGACAGAGGCCCAGCCGGGCACAGATGTCAAGGCCACGGACAAGAGGCCCAGCTGGTGGTGGACTAGTCCGTACAGGAGCGGAGGACTGATGCGGGTAGTGTGGGGTGGGACCTCCAGGTACTCCTTCAAAGTCATCTGATTGGCAGCATGTTTTTGTGCATCACTCTTCATCGATGCCACCAAATACCCAGCATACCACAGAGCATTTTCAACAACCTACTTGGCTGAACTGCATCTCGTGTTGACCCAACAAGTGTGCCTTGTTGCTGAGTTGTCACCTCGGAGCAGTACAGCCCTCCTGGCCAAATGTATCCGGAGACATAGCCATGGTGTACTAGGGAGCTATTTTTTAAAATCTCAATTATAAAATATATTTTGATTTGTTTGACACTGTTTTGGTTACTACATGATTCCATATGTGTTATTTCATAGTTTTGATGTCTTAACAATTATTCTACAATGTAGAAAATAGTAAAAATGAAGAAAAACCCTGGAATGAGTAGGTGTGTCCAAACTTTTGACTGGTACTGTATACAGAATACAGTGGGGTGTAAACAGTGCAATGAAATGCTTACTTGCAAGCTACCTCTCAACATAGCCCTTACGTCACAAGCTTGATGTAATCATTGCGTGCTAGGAATATGGGACCAAATACTAAACCTTTGACTACTTAAATACACATAAGTAAATTTGTCCAAATACTTTTGGTCCCCTAAAATGGGGGGACTATGTACAAAAAGTGCTGTAATTTCTAAACGGTTCACCCGATATGGATAAAAATACCCTCAAATTAAAGCTGACAGTCTGCACTTTGTATCACTTCAAATCCGAAGTGCTGGAGTGCAGAGTCAAAACAACAACAAAACATTTCACTATCCCAATACTTTTGGAGCTCACTGTATATTTATTGAACTCTTTGCTTCTCCTGAGATAGCCGTTGATCATGACTCTCAGTTCCATTACATTACACGAGTCATTAGACGAAGGCGTCTTCTGTACAGAGGAGTTTTGTTTAGAGCCCCGATGCTCTAAACAAAAGGTTAAAATTATACATACCTTTTTGTAGGGTTAATGTTACCCCACGGCCATATCTCCATGTTACACCACGTGTTTTCGGAAAACAGACAGAAGACAGTCGACTACCTATGCTAAAAAGCTATCTGCGTCTCCTAACACCTATGTGTAAACAGAAGATGGCCTCCACAAACATGTCACAAAAAAATACGGTTGGCTGCAACTATGTTAAAACAGTGTACAGTAAGTGTGTATTTTGCATTTTCAGTTATTTTGATGTGATTTATGTTTCTAGACCCGTACAGGAATTGAGAATCGATTCGCGTTTAGATGGAGTATTTGGCTGTTTTGACTGCCAGAGCCAATTCACACTTTAAAAATAACATTTATGGTCCATGGACTAAGGAGTAACGTTAGCCCATACAGGAATGTAGGACACGGGACTGACTGACTGCAGCTGTGGACTGGATGCTGGTAGAGGGGGTGGGAGTAGGACGAAAGGTGCCAACAAGAAGCAGGGCTGTCTCCAGCACTGGAACTGTCAGGTCCTGAAATTCCAGCAGCTTGACAAAGCCTTGGACATCAGGATCACCTGTCTCCAGTTCCTCAATGGAAGCCTTGTAATCCTGCAGTGCCAAACCAGTCTGATCGAAGAGGTACTCCAAAATGTGGTCCTCTGTAGCTCAATTGGTAGAGCATGGAGCTTGTAACGCCAGGGTAGTGGGTTCGTTCCCCGGAACCACCCATATGTAAAAATGTATGCACGCATGACTGTAAGTCGCTTTGGATAAAAGCGTCTGCTAAATGGCATATTAAATATTAAATCAGTTCCCCTAAAGGAAAAAAAACAACAAATACATGAGAATACACCGGACTGAGTATGGAATAATTCTATAATAACGTTTCACAAAGAGAAATGTGTTGCTGTTTTTATTAAATATAAAAGCTGCATTAGATTATTAATTACATTAAAATTATATTGCCATTACCAGTGTATTTGCGTGGAACAGTGTAAGGAACCATATGTTCCAACTGATGACCTTCCTACTGCCCTTGGGACATCGAAGGTATTCTGCTGCAACATAGTAGGATCCGTCCACATCCACAACCTGCCTGATCTTCTGGTTGAGTCCTGATGAGGTCAACTCCAACCTCTCCTGGTGTAACAACACCTGCACAGGATCGGTACATCCGAACATCACACCTGCGGGACAGGTACAGGATGGTAACAACAACTGCCCGAGTTACACCAGGAATGCACAATCCCTCCATCAGTGCTCAGACTGTCCACAGTCAGAATGTGGGCAATACAGCTTCACCTGCCAGAGCTTCCTGGGCATCCAGAGCAGCAGAGGATGGGCAAAGTACCTCTCCATCACCGGTACTGAGCTGCAGATGAGGGGTGGTGGAGGGGGTCCCACCACATTTTGTCAACCCTGGCAAAGTCCATCTCTGGAATCCCATTCCCCGACCACCTGAACAATGCCTTGGACACCCACTTATGGTCCACATCAGGCAAAGTGCATTGCCATCCCTTGGGAAGGCATACGTCTCTCCCTGAAATCAAAAGACAACAACATCGCCACACGAGAAATAATGTATTGATGATAAATTCCCCAAAGAACAGGTCATCATATCACATGAGACATACTATGTAGGCCTAGT